TGTTGCCTTTCAATGTCTAGGTACATACCACCGGTTTAGGGGCGTCCCAAAATGTAGCTTACATTTTTGAAGGTTCCGTTTTCTTAACGCCTCTCTGTGCTTTCCCTTTTTTCCTGCAGACCTTTCTTCCTTCTCTTCCCGTTCTTTTCTGTTTTTCTTTCCTCTTCTTAGATATGAGTGGGCCCTAGGGCCATTATATACCCGCTTCCTGATGGAGCCGCTCATGAGAATCTGCTGCTGCATTCTACTGCTGGATTCTGTCTTCTATTTATATGTTCCTCCCCTCTCCCCTCTCAGTTGACATTTGACCGTAGAGTCCTTGCATGGAAACGTTATTGGCTGCTTTTCCCGGATGCATCTTTAGTTTTGTAGTTTTCATATGTTGCCTTTCAATGTCTAGGTACATACCAACGGTTTAGGGGCGTCCCAAAATGTAGCTTACATTTTTGGAGGTTCCGGTTTCTTAACGCCGTTCCGCGTTTTCCCCTTTTTCCTCTAGACCTTTCTTTCTTCTCTTCATGTTTTTCTCTATTTTTTTAAAATGCATTTCTGTGTTTTCCCCTTTTTCCTCTAGACCTTTCTTTCTTCTCTTCATGCTTTTCTCTATTTTTAAAATGCATTTCTGTGTTTTCCCCTTTTTCCTCTAGACCTTTCTTCCTTTTCTTCATGTTTTTCCTGTGTTTCGCAACACGTCTCTTCGAGCCACTCCCGAAGAGATCCACGACCCCCCCCCCTCTCGTCGGGTGGGTCGACGACGCTCGTACGACCCCCCCCCCCGCCCCCTCGTCGGGTGGACGACAGTCGCACGACCCCCCCCCACCCCCAAAGCATGTTTCAAACGTTTCCTGCAAAGGGTTCTCAAAACCAAGAAATGGGAGGGACCTGTCTAAATGTAAGCTACATTTCTTAGACCCCCCCCCTCCCCCCCGAAAAACATTGAAAAATGTAGCTTACATTTAGACAGGTCCCCCCTCCGGTTTTGTAGAGATAGGGGGTGGGGATATAGTATGTGCATAATGAATAATCACAAATATTCAGCGCCCGCTACCATCCCACCATGATGGTGTGTGTGGCCGAGCGATGCGGAGCTGACTGGCCATGGGGCAGAAGTTTTGGCGGATCCAATCCTTGCTCGTGACGAAGGAACAGTTCGCCGATGCCTGGCGGTGTGCGTCACGCTTGGCCGAAAACAGTGGTCCACCTGATTGGGATCTAATCTACGGATGCCACCGGAAAACACGCAGCATTAAAAGCATCTCAGAATGCCTCCTCGTCCCCATGTCCGATCTCGTTTGGCTTGCAGAAAAGGTGCCGGATCGTTGCCCACCGACATCATGGGGTTGTCCTCGACTTACAGGGGATCATCATGATCTTCACATGTGCATCTGAAGCCACGCATCAAAAAAATCTCGCAACCTGTCTTTCTTGGGCGTGTCTCAAAAA